TTTGCCTACATGTATGTTTGTGTACCACATACATGCCTGGTGTCCACGGAAGCCAGAAGAGGTTGTTAGATGCCCTAGGGCTGGAGTTACAGGCAGTTGTGAGCCAACATGTGAGTGCTGGGAATTGAACCTGGGTCCTCTGTAAGAGCACCCAGTGTTCTTAACCACTGAGCCATCTTTCTAGCCTTTCAAAAGATTGCTGATTAGAACAAAATTATTGCAGTTACTATGAGTTGGGTGAGGATCTTAGGAGCTGTGGCTTTTGCCTTCCTAAAATTCAAACTGCAGTTTATTTAGCTTTGTTATTATCAATTATTTGGTTAACCCTATAGTGTGTTGTGACTCCCAGTGGCCTATAATTTGATCCTATAAATTTCTGATTGAAATTCAATATTAATTCTTCCTATGCCTGTGCTATTATGCCTTTCTAAGACCATTTAATTTGCTGTGTGTTGCCTCTGAATTTGTACAACTTGAACACTTTGAACCTTCCTGTCACAGAGAGCATAATAAAATCACCAAGGTATTTTAATTTCTCTCAGCATTGTTTTTGCATATATAGACTCTTAGATGGGCTTTCTTTCTTCTTTAACAGGTCAAATAATGCAAGTTTATTGCTATGTACTGGCTTTGTTCTTCCCCAGTTTATTTTTTAATCTCCTCTAACATCACTGACACATCACAGAGGCAACTGGCAGGTCAGGGGACTTCTCTCTCTCACGTGGACTGCGGTAAAAACACATTTAAGGGCTGTAAGAACCGAGAGGGACATGGAGAGGAGGACATGTGGCCAAGGGTCCAGACCCCCAGCACTTCATTTAGGCACAGCAACATACTTCTTTCCGGGTACTCGGTGCATTTCTGTATTTTCAGAAGGAAACCTGCTGTCTGCAAACGTTTAGATGTCAGTACTACCCTTTCCTACCTTCTCAAATGGTGATAACCATCTTAAGCAATGCTAGAAAAAAAGAAAAATAGAAAATTAATAAGTAAAGTGATGCTAGAAAACTTTAGAGAGATGACCCCATTGGCTGTGGCACAGACTTGATTGTGGATAGTCGAGGAGGAAGAAAGTCGAGAGTGGGTAGAGAGGAGCACAGATGTTTAACCAGCTCAGCTACACAAAGTATTGGGGCAGGATGGAATAAGAATGAGTCCTCTTTGCTTCAAGAGAACAGTTGCGTTTCAAAGCTGGCTGTGGTAGAGAAAAGAGATGCGAATGACATTAGTTGAGAGGATGGGTGTCACTTTGATCTTGAGGGACTAGAGAGGACTCCTGAGCTGCTATGACCTATTTAGTCACCCAGCAGAAATTTGCCACCGACATAGCTCTCGAAGACCATGGGAAGGATCCTGAGAATCGGGGGTTTCCCTTGTTCACGGTGACATTTTGGAAAGTGGTGGAAGGCAGTGCTTCTCAAACTGAATTGTCTGTCCAGACCACCTGGCAAGGGGATCTTGCTGGAAAGTAGAGTCTAATTCAGCAGGTTTGGGGTTAACTTGACATTCTCCATTTCTAGCGAGTTCCCAGGTGATGCTTGGCTGCCTGCCAGATAGATGTTGCGCATCACGTACCAAATAAACCCAGGAAAAGCCAAGTGTAATAACACATTTGGAGGCAGTGACTAATACTGAGATTTGCCTACCTAATATGTATTCCTTTTTTTATTTTGTTATTAGGAGCTAGTTTGTTTGGCAAAGGAGTTATCTCAGCTAGAACCATTTAATTCCCCATTAGCGCTGGGACAGGAGTGGCATACCATTAATTCTAGCAAAAGAGATATTTGTGGCGGAAGGTCTGGCCTTCATCTTGGCTTTTGAAGTTGTCCCCTCTTTCCTGCCTGAAGTCTGACCCCAACTCTTAGGGGGCTGCAACCTTGCAATGATCTTTTAAAGTACTTTACTTTTTTAGTTTCATTGCAATCATTGTGATAGTTCTAATTTTCAACTTGACACCATCTAGAATCATCTGGAAAGAGAGTCTCAATGAGGAATCTCACTGGGTTGTCCTATGAACATTATCTGGATGACATTAATTGAAGTAGGAAGACCCACCCCCCGTGGGTGTTACCATTCCCTGGGCAAAGCATCCTCGATGGTTGAAGATTAGAGAAAGTGAGCTGAGCACCCGCAAGCATGTATGCCTTAATTCACTGCTTTCTACTCTTGACTAAGGATGCGGTGTGGCTCGCTGCTTCCAGTTCTGATGGCCTTTCCTTTCCTACAGTCGAGGGGTGGAGGCTGGGAAGTGTGAGCCAGAGAAATGCTTTCTGCTCTACGCTGCTTTTATCGGGGGATTTTTGTCACAGCAAAGAAAACCAAGCTAAGGCAATTAGCATATATTAATTATATGATAAATAATAGGTCTCATTGTATGTTCACACATGTATAGAATGTGTTTTGATCACAATCAACTTTATCATCTCTTTGGTTCCCGTCTTATTCTCACTGACCCTTTCTTCTTCCCAATCAGCCCCCATTCCATTTACATGTCTTTTGTTTGTTCATTTGTTTTATGGGGAGTCAATTAGTTTAATGAGGAATGCTTACAAGAATAGGGCCAGGGGGATATTTTTAGCTGACCACTGAAAAATGTCCCTCCTTTCCCCCAGCAACCATTAACTGCCCTCTCAGGAGGAATAGAGGCCCCACGAGTCCCGCTTCTACCTAGTAAACCACTGACTGCCTCTAAGTCCTTGCCACGGTTCTGAAAACAGGACTGCAACTCCTGGAGTTGGAGGGATGAACCCGGGTCCTCCCGGCCCCACGGACTGCGCTGACCCCTTTAGTTTTGCTGTTGTCTGGTATTTCCATTTGAGTTTCTCCACAAACAGCCCCAAGACAAGAATTAAAGTGCAAATAGGTTTCCTGGGAGATATCTCTAGGAAGAATCAGTGGGAGGACTGGAGGTGATGCAGGAAAGGAAAGGAAGCAGTGATGGTGTGTCATCAAGTCAATTACCACCGTGGGAAACTGTGGTAATAATCTCTGAGCAAGTCTGGGAGGCAGACAGTGCATCAGAACCAGAACGCTGATGGGGGAGGAAGGTGCAGCAGGGGGATGTGGCCACCAAATCCCAGCCATCCTGGGGGAGCTCAGCCTCTGGGGCGTGCTAATTATTCGGCACTTTGGCTCACCTCCTCTACCCACAGAAAACCTTAGGTTGAGACTAGAAGGACCTGCGCTAGCCGGAAGAAGTAGGCAAAACAGCAGGGTTGCAATAGCAACAGCATCTGCAACATCTGGGAAATCGCATCCCAGACTGTCACCCTAGTCAAATACAATCCCAGCTGAACTCCACCCTGGGAAGAGCCCATTCATTGTAAGAGAGGTTCTCACCTCATCACATTAACCGGGAGTTACTTGACACTAACCTGCATGTCTGCAGCCAAAAACTGCAAGGCATTCTCTTAACAGATGGGAGGCTTCTCCCTACCCCAGCAAACCTGAAAACACTATCCAGGCAGTCTCCCACTCTGTCAACAGAGAGCAGCCAGCGGGCCTCCCCACAATGTGGGGATTTTGACACAACACCCAGAGCTTATAAATATGCTACTCACACAGAGTGTTCTCCCACTTAGTCTAGATATTATTTTTTTAGTTCTTGGGAAAATCAAAGAGACTTTCAATGAGTTCGGGAAAGAGCATTCTCCAGGTAGAGAAAACTCCCATCCTTCTAAATGATTAACCACCTTCTGAATGACCTAGAAGATGAAATAGGCAGGGAGCGCCTCAGATGGGCATGTGGTAGCAAGCTGAGACAAGGCAGAAATGGAAAGAAAGATTAAAAGAAAGAGTTCATAAAGTCCCTAAGTGTGGAAACCTGAAGGAAGAAAAGAGCATTGAGATTCACCTTTGTTCTCCTCCAAGCTCTTGGCTGACCTTGGGGGGTGGGGGAGGTGCGAAAGTAACATAGAGAGAGGAGAGGAAGGACTCAAGACTTGGACTCCTCTTCATGAGCAACTGCCCATGTCTCTGCTCTGCACAGGGGTGGCTGTAGCCACAGCAACACAGACTGGAGACTCAGCGAGCTTAGAATTTCAAAGAGTAACTCAAGGACAAACATAGCCATCACCAAGGGCCACAGCAGCCCTGCCCCAGCTGACCCAGGGACTGAGCTTTGGAGAGGCAGGGCAGAGTCTGACTGAAATGGGGAAACAGTGAGTCCAGGGTCATGGAGAAGCAATTGAGCAAGCTTTCGACTCAAAGTATTTGGGGGGAGTTTTACACTCTTAAATATTTCCAAATTAAGTTTTAACATAGCCAAAGGTCATGAAAGTAAACGCATTTCTATGCAAGAAAAAGCAACCTGTTTTCTTTGTGTTCTACACATTGCAATAATGAGATAGTCGCTCTAGAAGCCCAGGTGCAATCCCTCCAGAGGCAATTTTGTTGTTTCTTTCTTGGTTATTTGATGATCTGTGCCTTTACCCTGGCAAGTCTCAATTTCATTATAACGTGAGATACATCTACCTTTTCAATACCTGTGGGTTGTTGCCCAAGTCACAGTAAAGACTGTCATAAACGAGGAAGAGTATGTGAGCTGGAGATGCAAGTAAAACTGTGATTACTAACATTGCTGTTGTCCCTTTGAATGTTTGATTTTTTTGACTTATATAGCATGGTTTTTATTTATTGGTATACCTTTGGATATCATAAAGTAATTTGCATAAATAATATAGTACTTATAGTATATATCATATACTGTTCATAAACTTCATTCACAATATATTCTCTGGGTAATGACTACTGTTACCAATATCACCCTTACCATCACCACTATTACCATTATAATCACCACCATCACAATTATCATTACCATCATAATTACAATCATCATCATCACCATCAGTTACCCATTACCACTATCACTATTATAATCACCATCATCACAATTATCCTGACCATCACAATTATCACTATCATCATAATTACAATCATCACCATCACCATTGCCATCAAAGTTAGCATCACTTTCATAGACAGCAGCAACACCATAATATTATTACCAAATGAGGTTCATTTATTATATGTAACATGTATATGTGCCTCTGTAAATGCATGTAGCTGTGTCAAAGGCTAGAACAAGGTATCATATTCCTTGGGACTAGAGTGACAGGCAGTTATGAGCTACCTGACATGGGTGTTGAGAAATGAACTCTGGTCCTTTAGAAGAGCAGTAAGCACTCTTAAATGGTGTGTCATCTCTGCAGTTTCCAGTTCATTTCAAATTATAAATGACTCCACATTAAAAAGAGTTCTCTTCTGTGGTCCATGGGCATTTGACTGTTGTGTTTTCTTTCTGAGTCTTTAAACCAACAATCAACATCAACAACAACATAGCAATGCTTTTCCTGATGCCCTGAGAGGCTCTTCTCCAAAAGGTGAGTCACGAATGAATCCAAGATTGCTTTTAAGTGGATCCTAGCTCTTGTGTGCAATCCTTGCTTTGCCATTTCATTTTTGTTGACAGCTTTCGCCTGGTTGTTTTCTCACCAAGCCTTGGGAGGTGTGCTTCTTAAAGTTTTCTCAAAAGAGCAGGTATAGAGCAGATTTTCCATAAGCCAAGAGCTGGGCAGAGGCAGTTTATCTATCTGAAAAGGAATGAGGTGCACCGAGTCATGGTCCAAAGAGTCATAGCACCACAGAACCAGAGCACTGGGAAAGCCTGGAACAATCGGGCTAGAGCTTTCCTCCTGAAGATAGGGAATCGGAGCACAGGAAAATGTGGTGTGTGTGGTAATGAGTATCAGGGACAGGAACCCTTATCTGCTTAACTCTCAGCACCGTGGCCTTCCCACTTCTCTCTTCCGGAGTTAGATGGCACCTCTGGAGACAGCTGGGGGTGGAGGAAAGGCAGTGTGTATAGTAAAAGAAGCCAGGAACATCTGGAGGTGAGCTGGGGTAAAGATAAGACAAACATGAACACAAGCCCCAGAGCCATAGAGAGGCGGGGACAACACGGGCCAGAGAGGGAGCAAGCATAATCAAGATGTGATCAAACCAATGGGTTCTGATACCCATCAGGAACATCTAAATAACCCATCAATTACTCAGAAGACAACCTCATGGAACTTACCGGTTCCTCTGTGTCCAAAATATTCGGTCTGGACCTGGGGTGACCAGGGTTGAACGCTGGGCCTACATTCTCAAACACAGCAGGGTTGGCTCAGATTTCAAGTGTCATTTTGATGGTGGATGCCTCAGCCTCAACATTCTAAATGGTTGGATTCAATCAAAGGATAGGTCCAGACTAGAAACCATAGCATAGAAACAAATATTCCCAAAATGTTGAATCTTTTTAAAATTGGGGAAAAATGTAAAACTTTTCTCAAACTCTAATAACTGATAGGGGCTGGGGGTTATTAAGAAAAACAAAAGAAGCCGGTTTTAAATAGGAAAAAAAGCAAAAAACAAAAATAACTGTTTCTTTAGTTTGTCCCGTGACTTAGGTTCACTTTTAAAAATGATTCATGGGTGTTTGGTGTGAATGCATGAAGACCTGAGTTTGGATTCCTAGCACCCATATATATTGTCTCTGTAATGGGGGAGGCAAGCAGGTGTATCCCTGAAATTCACTAGCCAACTAATCTAGCCAATCAGTAAACTAGCCAGGTTCAGTGTCAGACTCCATCTCAAGTAAATACATACATGTATACATACACATATACATACTTGTATACATACATACATACATACATGCCCAAAGTGGACAGTGATAGGGAAGAAGCACTATCATTGGCCTCTGGCCCCCACATGCACATGCATGCATGTGCATAACCTCACAGACACACATACATGAACCCACACAAAGACTGTTGCAAATGATTTTATTTTTATAAAGCAAACCCTCTCCTTCTGAGGCAAAAACATACATTGTCAGAAACATTTCCCATGGATGCTGATCTCTGTAACCCACCAAGCTTCTATATTGAAATCCTGATCCCTAAAATAATGGTATTTGTGGCAGAAATTCCTGTTGACAGAGGTTTCTGTCCCGCCTAGTCCGGCAGCTTTTCAGTCCCAAAGAAACACACAGAGGCTTACATTAATTATAAACTGGTTGGCCTAGTAGCTCAGGCTTTCTTATTAACTAATTATTACTTCTTACAGTACCCCATAATACTTGGTCTGTGTTCGCCACATGGCTTGGTACCTTTTATCAGTGAGGCATTCTCATCTTGCTTCCTCTGTGACTGTGTGACAACTGCAGGCTGAGTCTTTCCCCTTCCCAGAATTCTCCTGTTGGTCACCCCACCTATACTTCCTGCCTGGCTACTGGCCAATCAGTGTTTTATTAAAACAGTACAAGTGACAAATCTTTACAGGGTACAAGACCATCTTCCCACAGCAATTTACTGCCGACCAAGAACCAGCATATTAGCAAGCAAGCCACACCCCACAGCTAGCCATAAACCCCCACTAGACCATACCTGGCCTAGAATTAGTATCCAGTCGTAATCCATCCTTTCTGTTACAGATACCTTTTGATGTCCTATGTGAATCTTGTCTGAGAGTTTCCCATGGATACAAAGCCTATGCAAAACTTGGATGGGGTACCCCAGAAAACCATGGTATCTCATGAATCAGGTATTTGCACTTGGCATTACATTTTTGGAAGCTTCATTCACGTTGTTTTGAGATATGGAAATCTACTGGCTAGAGTGTAAATATAGGGAAAAAAAAAAAAACATGGGCAAAGGGAAAGTGCTTCGCACCACCAAGGCTGAGCACCCCTGTGGCTGATAAGGCTAAGTTCATTCTCAAAGCATCTCTGCGTCTTCACAGACAGGCATGAAGCCATGCACCCGCACCATGACACCCATGACAGGTATTCTGAAAGGAGCCTCTGGAAGGGTGACCGAACAGGAACGCAGACCCTCACTGGTAGACTAGCATCTCTGTGACACCAGCTGTGGGGGGCTCCTCTACCCCTCACTGAATGAGATGACAGTGGAAAGCTGACTATGATACAGCAACATCACATCCCCCACCCCCGTGATGACTTCAGACACCCCAGCTTCTAACGCTTGTGAGAATCAAATTCCTGTTGCTGAGAAGCTGCCCAGCTTCCAGTGTCCCAGCTTGCAACACGCATGGACTATAACACCTGCTTCTCGGCGTCCCTTGAGAAAAATGACAGGTTGTCTCTGCGAGGGTGACAAGGGCAGCTCAGCATCTGCAGTGAGTGGGGGCAAGAGCAGCATCTGTTATCTGAAGGCAGCAGAATCAGCTAGGGAATGGGCGTGTGTCCAGAACTGTAACAAGAATGCAGGCACCTACGCACACTCTACCCTTGCTTGGGACTGGTTGTAGGTCTCACTCTCACTAGGCAAGCGATCTACCACAAAATTATATCCTCAGAACATCTATTACTTTTTATTTTGAGACAGGGGTATCACTAAGTCGCCCAGGCCTGCCTCGGATGTATTTTATAAGCGTGAGCAGGCCTCGCAGGCAGCAGCAAGTATAGGCTTGTGCCATAATGTTCGGCTAGGGGAAGGTTTAGAGGTGCACAAAAGATGGAGGAATTGGAGCTTTGTTTGCCATAGCTTCTCAAGAGGTTTCTGAAGTACAGCTTGGCCTGTCATTCACAGGTTTGGTATTGGCATATTCTCCTATTTGTTGAAATTTAAGTTCCAAATCCAAACTTGCAATGAATGCTTTGGGGTCCTTCACAGACACAGCAAAAACAGGGTCTGTGTGCATGCGTGTGTTCTGCCTCTGTTTCAGCTCCCACACCAGGGCCTCTTGGCAGTCTACTTATAGGGCCGTGGTTCTCACATTTCTGTGCCTTTGCTGGTGATTCCACTGTTCGAAATAGCTCCTGTACCATGTTGAGCTGCGAGCCAAGAAGGCGTGGCCTGCCTTACAGAGAAACTGTGGGCCAGAGAGGTGCCATTCACGCATGACTTACACTGCTGTTAGCTGTGAGTTTAATGTTAATGAATCAACAACCTGTCCTAAACACCAGGTCTAAACAAACACACATACACAACATGTACTGACAGAATGGAGAAACTGCTGCGGAGTAAGGCTTGCAGGAACCTAACCCTGTGCTCCCCTAGGGAGCCGTGTTTGAGAATTTACTAACATAGCTCTCACAACTGCACAGAACACAGCTAACATGAGGAATGACAACTAACTATACTTGAAACAGCATCATTTTATTTTACTTTAAAATGTACATGTCACGAAGAGGGAACCTGATTCTCCTAAGACCGAGACTTGCCCAAGGCACCGTACTTGCTAAGTGTCAGGGCCACGAATTGAACACAAATGTTCTGATTTTCATTTCCCTCATATTTCTACCCTGAAACACAGCAGATGCTAATATAGCAAAAATATTAATGGACCCCAGGCCAGGTCTCTGAAACCTACAGTTGGCTGTGGCACAGAATGAAAGAGAACTCAGCACAAGTCAACGAGGATGCCTCACTGGGCTCCTGACCATAGAGAATGAATGGCCGGATAAGGACCCAGATCTTGCCTGGATCCTCTGGAACTTGGTTTTATGAGAACTTTATCCACGGCCCACAGCAGGATCTGAATTGAGATGGTGGCAGCCCCAGGAGGAGTCCAGCATCTTTAAAATTCCAGAGGCAGCAGTGCCTGGAAGCCTGGGGCTGCTGGAAAGCAGCTGAGTTGTGCATGCTCGGCGTTCCCTCCAGCAGCCCCACATCTCTCCTCTGCTTTCCAAGCCTTGCTGTGTTGTCTAGAAAGACGGAACAGATTAATGGGGAAACCAAATAAAAAGCAATGGTATTCTGGAGAACCAAACAGGAAGCCCTGGGAGGGAGCGACGAAGGGAGGGATAGAGGGACAGACAGACGGATAGATGGGAGAACTGATGGACCACATTGTATTCTACTGAATGATATTTTTGGATCATTAGATGTCTGTTCAGCATTCAACACATACACATGAAAATGTGTATTATGTATCCCTGTATCTGTATTATGTGTGTGCATACATACTTACATGTGTATTTGTATGTGTATAACCTTTCTCTCTCTCTCTCTCTCTCTCTCTCTCTCTGTGTGTGTGTGTGTGTGTGTGTGTGTGTTGTGTGTGTGTGTGTGTGCGCGCGTGCGTGCGCGCACGGGCACACATGTTCACACATGTGTAAGTGAACATGTTGGACAAATAGGGTTAAGAAGGAACCAAAACATTGAAAGAAATAAGAAAAGACCCTCTCCCTACCTGTACACTGGTAAACTATCTTCGAGATCCCTCCCCTTTCAGATCTTTCAAACTGCAAGAACAGAAAATCTTCTAAAACTATGTCCCTCACAGAAAGAGGGACACCGAGTAGAAAGGTGTCAGAAGAGGCAGCAGCATGCCCAGGCTGACTGAGAAGCTTTGTGAGCTCCAGCTTCTCCTACTTTTGCTCTCTGTGGACACGGAGGAGCCCCATGGCCTCTCCCTAGATTTACTTTTTAGTAGTAGTATGGTATTCACTATTTGAAGGGCCCCACTGAACCAGCTAACAAGAGATCCTACTCAGAGTAGAGATACAGAATCTAGCACTACTAAGAGAAGCCCTACCCTGAGCTGAGAAGCTATTGGTAATTAATAGCTGCTGGGAGTTGGTTTTACCAGGTGTGCAGTTCCTCATGGGTTGAACCTGTAATGGTGCATAGCAACATACCCAAGAGTAAGCCAACATGATTTTAAATTTATTTATTTTTTTCAAAAAAACTATATTTTCTCATTTTACATGCCAAATCCATTTCCCACTCCCTCCCCTCCTCCTGCTCCCTTCACCTTCCCTCCTCCCACCTCCCCATTCAACCCCCATCCACTCCTTAGAGAGGGTAAGGCTTCCATGGAAAGTCAACAAAATCTAGCACATTGCTTTGTGGCAGGACCAAGGCCCTCCCTACTATATCTAGGCTGAGAAAATTATCCCTCCAAAGAGAATGGGTTTCAAAATGCCAAAACAAACAGTTGGGATAAATCCTGGTCTCACTGCCAGTGGCCCCACAGTCTGCCCCAGCCATACAACTGTCACCCACATTCAGAGGGCCTAGTTTGGTCCTATGCTGGTCCCTTCGCTGTCAGGCCAGAGGTGGAAGGCTTCATTAGCCCAGGTAAGCTGGTTCAGTTTGTGTCCCCACCATGGTCTTGACCTTTTTGCTCATATTCTCACTCCTCCCTCTCTTCAACTGGACTTTAGGAGCTCTGCTCTG